CCAATTCATTTTGTGTATTATTTGTATGGATGATTGAAGCTTTTGGATATTAAAATGCTTAATAAGCAAAGAATCATTTTTTTTTTTTTTAGTTTATAAATAAATGACTGGGTATTTGTTTAGTTTTCATCTATATTTTACCAAGAAGTTTAGTTTTATTATTAAATTTTTTTGCAAAGTTTACTCATAACAAAATATAAACAGAATACAGAGATAGGCCACAGTATATCTCTGTATTTTATAACTATTTTTTTTTTTAATACTGTTGATTGTAGCCACAATACAGGACAATGTAGCACAAAGTTTTAAGTAAATGTGTGTACATGTGAAAGAAAGAGTAGAAATTTTAAGGGAACATGGGAAATGGCAAAACAGCTAGTGAAGAAGGAATGAGGGAGATTGTGGTTTAAACTATGCAGTTTGTTTATTTGCACAGCTTGCATACAAAATGAAAACATTTCTCTTTCTTTTTCCCACATCCCATGCAGAAACAGTCTCAACAGGAGTCTATAGACACACTCAAAGAGAACGACAGCTGGTAATATATCTTTGTTCATTTTAGTTGCACACAAACCTATGTGTTCCTTATTAAACATCCTAGTCATCGATCTATTTGGAATGGTCTGCAGTCAGTTTTGTAAATTGGACTTTTTTTCCCCCTAGTCTTTCATGATTAATAACTTTTTTAAGATTTGTAAGACCAGTTGGTATTTGACAAGTAAAACTGTTTGCTTATAACACCTACTCAATCACAGAGGAGATCCATTGAAAATCTGTGGTTCAGAAGCCCTCCTCTAAGCTGTTCTTGGCTTTACTCACTGCATCTTAATGCATCCTTTTGGCTGGAAACCTTTTGAACCACCACGATTAAACAATTCAAATTATGCTTCTTGCACTGGCTCTTTCTCTCCTTTTCCACTGCTTCCACACTAATTCATGCACTATCACCTATGGCAGAAGTACTGAAAATCCGGCTAACCATTCCTTTCTCTGTCTTCATCCACATTGTCTTTCCCTGTCAGTGGCTTCCATGGCCAGATCAGCTGTCTACACGAAGAAAACCAATGCTTGCTGGATGTCACCCAAACTCCTAAAGTTCAAAGTGCCTCACATCACTCTCCTCATCATTCCTTCACTAGACTCTTACTCCAACCTTCCATAAACTGACTTATTTGACAGCCCTACAAAAACACTGATATGGCCTTTACACTGTCCTTTAGGTCTCCTGTCCCCTTGTTTGGAATGTCCCCTTCTTCTCCACCTCCTCTCAACTTGCCTCTTTTAGAACTAAAATTTTACCCTCCTTTAAGGCCAATGTCAAATATTAGCTCTTTCACAAGCTGTTCTTGATCAGCTGAGCAAGAATGACCTCCTTCTTGTCCGAACAGTATTCTGCTCTTTGAGTACATACAGTCAGCCTTTCTTAAATTTGCTTATTCATATCTTATCCCTTCCTCTTGAGAGATACTAATCTCAATCGATTCTAGTTTATTCTTGCCTGCAAACATCACATCATCTTGTATAGTATCTTCACATGGTAGGGACTCCTCAATATTGATTGAATGAAAGAACAAGTAAGCAATTTATTAAGCAGAAAACATTTGCAGAAGATTCTGATTTCATTTTGAAGAAACCCAAGTCAGTATCTAAATTACCTTGGCTGTACCTCTTTACACAGAGTTTAAATTATATATGCAAGTTCTGTACTGGCCTATTTTAAGAAAAAAAAAAAAAAGTTTCTTTACATTAGTGTTTTCTTCAAAGAAGACAGAGATCATTCAAGAGTTCTCTCCCCCCACCACCAACTTATTTTGAGGATCTTTTCAAAGGAAAATAGTACTTTGAAGCAGTAAAGATGATATAGCCATCTGTTTGGGCTTGTCCCTACCCATTTAGCTAAGGAAAATCTTATTTCACATTAGCTGAATCACTGACATGAGTTATAAAGATACAATTATTTGGGAAAATGAAAATTGAAAGCTGTCCTCCTCTTCTTCTTCTTCTTTTAACGACTGTGTGTAAAGATTTTGAACAAATGTAACTGATAATTTACCTTTTAAAAACAAATTGAACATTGGAAATCTCAATGTCAGAAAACATGCCTAATATCCATTTTATAAGATTACGATGTTTTGGTTACTGCATGCTTTTATAACAGAAGATATACCACAAATGGGATGGCTTTAACAAACAGGAGTTTCTCTTACAGTTTTGGAGGCTAGAAGTCTGAGTTCAAAGTGCCAGGATCTAGGGGCTGGGTGAAAACCCCTTGACCTTAGGCTTCAGTTCTGCCTCTTGCTCCCAGCCAATGAAACTGGAGGTTTTATTCATTAAGGAAGCTGCTGGCTGCTGAGGCTGACAAACCCAAGGTCAACAAGTGAAAAGACAGGCCCAATATTACCAAATCACATGGCAGTATATTGATTCAAATCCATTAAGAGTCCTAAGATTGGTAGACAACATGGGAGGCTGCTGAATAACGACTAGGCTACAGGCAGGAGTCAAGCGTGCCAAAAGCTAGAGACCGTCTTCAAAGTTGTTTCTTATACACTAGAAGCAGCCCACATCCCTAAAGCAGCTACTCGGCTGCTCCAGTAGCTTCCAACATGGAGTTAATTATCAATTTAACCATAGGGAATAATTACATCCAGCTGCCCAGCCACTCAAAACCAGGCCCAGCCAAGTTGACACATAACTTTATCTACTACTCCTCGGAAGGAAGGTTGGGCAATCCTACTTCCGTAGTGATACTGCCTTGGAAACCCAAGGAGGGGTCACTATGAGTCGGGGCCGACTCGACGGCACATAACAACACACATTTATGTTATACTTTAAAGGCTGGAGGTGATGTGATTTGACTCATGCCTTTTAAGGTGCTATCTTTTAATTTTACCTTTCCCCTTTTCATTCAGTCCTTCAATGGACATTAATCCTATTGGACATCTATTATGTGCCCAGCACTATATTAGGCATAGGAATTAGTACAACAAGCTCAAAAGGCACAGTCCTTGTGTGCCTTTTACTTATACATAGTTTCTTTGTAGTAAGAATTTGATAGTTTCAATGTGAAAACCATCAACTTTCCCTAATGTCAGCTCCTCTGCTTGACTCTGTCATTTTTGCCAATTGTATCATTCCTCTCCCTAGATGTGAAGGCATGGAATCACCAAGACCCTCAATATTTCTCAAGTAAACTGTTACAATATTCTTCAACTAAAGGTACTAGCTTCAGTTTTGTTTTATTTTGCACAAACAAAACAAACATATAGCTTCATCTTCTTAAAGCTTATCATTTATACAATTATACAAACATATAGATTCATCTTCTTAAAGCTTATCATTTACCTAATTATGTGATAATTCACCCTGGACATATTCTATAAAATTGTCTCAACCTACCTTTCTAATGTTAATATGCCACTTTTTAATTTTTTTTTTCTTTAATAAACATACCACTGCTATGTGTTGGAGCCAATTTGGCACTTAACAACAACTCTCAATTTCACTTAAAGTCAATGATTTACTATCCCAAACATACCCACCCATTTCTTCCTCAGGATATTTACTCAAGATACTTCTTCCTGTGACCCACTCTTACTTCTCTACACAACCATAGAAACTGGAGCACCCTTCAAGAAATATCTTAAGCCATAATTCCTCCAAAAAGTCTTAAAAGAATCTCACAGATATATGGGTTTTTCACCCCCAGAAATCTGTAAAATCTGTACTACATCATTTATATATATATTTAGGAACCCTTCATAGTGTGTTTCATCTGATAATAACTTTTCACTTTGTCTTAAAGCTCACAATACTACACATTCCTAAAGGCAGAGGTAGCTTTCTTTACCATAGTTTGGAGTAGATCCTCAAAAAAAAAAAACCTTTATTAGATTATTGATACTTCTGATTGCAAAACTTTTTTTGAACCTTACATATAAATTTATAGTAAAACACAGAAAGAGTGATCATTATGGTTTCTATATCATCCAGAAGACCAAAAATATAACCCCTGGGAAGAAAAGGGACTCTGATCTATGGTGCTTCAGACTTAGGTACTCCTGGTCCTTTCACCACACCTATCGATTTCCCGTAACTTTCTTTTTATTTATTCTTCCCTTTTCATGTTTTATTTTTCCCTCATTCTTCTGCTTTTTCCACCTCTACACCTTAGGCATACAAACACATTCTCTGGCATTTTGCTTGCATTTGCCAGCAGTATTGATGAAATAGGAGCTCTGGTAGCATAGTGCCTAAGGCACCAGCCACTCCTCGGAAGGAAGATGGGGCAATGTACTTCCGTAGTGATACTGCCTCGGAAACCCAAGGAGGGGTCGCTATGAGTCGGGTCCAACTCAGCGGCACATAACAACAGCAACACTGATGAAATAAAGTATTTTTGACTTTTAGGATATTCTATAAGGAATAACTGCTTTACTAGGATATGGGTAATCTCTAAACTAGCTTCCAACTTTGTGAAGAAAAAATAATTTTAAAAAATTCCAACTGGATTCCAGGGTTTACTTGTAAGACTCCCAAAGGGGTTGGCAGCTAACATGAGAAGCATTTATTTATCAAAAAGAAATAAATTTTCAAAAGAACACATGTATACATATGTTTGTATGTCTATCTATATCCATTCTTATCTACCATAAATAAGTACTGAAACAAAATACAACAGATCAACAGCTTCTCATTCTACTTCTATTCCAATTTCTGCCACTAATGCAGTCTTATCATACTACCAAAAAATGAATTAAAATTTAAGAGAAAACAGAAGTGAAGCTAAGCTGAAAATTATTATAACCATATTGTTTTTCTGCTATAAAGCTTTTCCAACAGCTATACTGTTTCGTAGGTTTTATCTATCCCCATGACTTGGTGATAGACGACAATGGTTTTCCCAATAAATGTCCCTTTTGAAATATGTAGTAAATTAAAAATAATAACTGTAGTGAAACTGTAGACTACTTAAGGTGAATGGGTAGAAAACCACTTACCCCCAGTTGCCACAGTGATTTCACGCAGGGAATGGCCATAAAATGGAAAATCGAAGGACAGATTCACTCTCTGCAAGGAATAACACCAAAAAAGAAAATCAATGTGCAGAATAATAAATGTGAAATGAAGAGCTTTTAACTTAAACAAAACAAAACAAAACAAACAAACAAAAAATGATGCTATGCTTCTGCTTTTCCCCAGTATTATTGTAGTTGACTTTTAAACTTGAATCCTTGATGGCAATAAAAGATAAGTTTTCTGGTAAATATCTGAAGTATAGACAGTCCCTGGGTTATGAAAGTCTTACTTACATACAACTTGTAGTTGTGAAGCAATTCCTATGAAGCCTATTATATTCAAAATTGTGGTACATAAAATGGTTTGTGATAACAAACAGGCACTACTTTGTGACATCAAAACATTATTATTATTATTACCACATTATTATGTTAAAGATGTTTTAGTATATCTGGAAGTGTTTCTTTAATGTTTTTTATGCATAGAAACAAAAACTTACACTGTATACTATATACTAAGACAAACATTTGACTAACTGACGTTAGATACAAACCATACCTAACTGTTCTGACTTATGTACAAATACAACTTGAAGACAGACTTAGGAACAGGATTTGTTCATAATCTGGGGACTGCATGTATATGAGAACAATATAGTTGGGCTGCTCCTAGGTACCAGGAGTATCTGAAAGTTTCAACTATAAATCAAGCTCTTCTAACATCCCCACTGCATTTTAGTTGTCGAATACACATATATACAATCAGCTGGGTTCTTTTAGTTTGACTTATCTTTTCTAAAACAGTAGAGCAGGTCAAGTCTAAACTAAATAAAAACAAAAAAGTTTTTATTCTATATTATTACAATATCTGTAGTCTATTTGTCTTCTCTATATCTCATAATGAAAAGCAATTTCATGAAATAAGATGTCTTGAATCTACAGATCTAGACTCACAGATATTTTCAATTTTTAGATGCAATGTGCTCTCAGATTGGGTTGATTATGTCCACTTTAAAATAACAGTGTTTTAGGATTAAAAATACTGGTTACTAGAGCTGATTTTCCTTGCTATATGGGAAAAAATGCAAGAGACTTACAAAGGTAGAAAGCTTATAAATCTTCCTCTCTTTCCTAAAAGGCGGACTGAAACTTTGGCATTTTCTCTCTCTCTCATATATGAATTTACATATGTATAGGTATATTGCTGTTGGCCACCAAGTAGATTCCAACTTATAACAACCCTATATGACTGAGCAGAACTGGCTCACAAGGTTTCCTAAGTACCTAAGGCTTTTGACTGCTAATCAGAAGGCTGGTGGTTCAAACCCACCAGCCACTCCTCGGAAGGAAGATTGGGCAATCTACTTCCATAGAGATACTGCCTCAGAAACCCAAGACGGTGTCACTGTGAGTTGAATCGATTCGAGGAGTTTTTTTTTTTTTTTTAAATCTCTATGGGAGCAGATCACCAGGTCTTTTATCCCTCAGAGGCACTGGTGGCTTTGAATAGCCCACCTTTCAATTCACAACTGAGTGCTTAACCACTGTACCACCAAGACTCCTAAAATATAGGTGCATGTGTATGTGTGTACATACACAAATCCAATGAACTAACACTGCCATCAAGTCGATTCAGACTCATAACCACACCCATTGGGTTTCCAAGGCTGTAAATCTTTACGGAAGTAGATCACCTTATTATGTTCCTCCTGCAGAGCAGCTGGTGGGCTTGATCTTCTGACTTTCTGGTTAGTAGCCAAATGTCTTACCCACTATGCCACCAGAGCTCCTTACATATACATATACAAAATATAAACACACATATACATATACATAGAGAGAGTTTTAAAAATAAGCAAAACAAACAAAAAACCCTAGCTTTTACACATTTGAAATGAGATCAATCAGATATATTATTAATCAAGAAACAAGAAAAAGAGTGAATTATAAAAAAATGGTCAACTGAACTAAAAGATCCAGAGGGAAAGTAATTAGCTAGTTTAGAATTTAATAGCATGCACAACTTATCTACAATGAAAAGCTATTATATAAAAATTCAACAATTTTTACATTTTATCTCTCCCAATGTATATTAAAAAATAGAGAAATATATCCAGATTGAATTTAGCTCTTTCCAATTCTGCAAATGATTGCTTTTCTATACCCATTAGAGATTTCTAATGACTTATTTGGCAAGAAATTAATCATTCTGAATTTACAGTGACTTTCAATTAGGTTTTCTTTCCTTTTTAATGAAAGCTACATCTTTAGAAAGGATTTATCATCATTTTTTCTTTGTGCTGACTAATGGAATAAGAAAACCCATTTTCACTGAACGAACTAAAATGAGTGGTCACTAATAACCTGAAATGAAAGCAAAATCATATATCTCAAAGACAATGACAGAAATAATTTTACAAAGGCACTTGCTGTAATATATTGTTTTCCATCATTTTAATTTATTTTCATGCTCGTGAGAAAATTGATAAAGTTTACAACATTGGGCACTCTCACATTCAGAATATGAGTTTGGTTTAAGCATATGTACTAATACATTCTATTAATTATCACAAAGATAAAGTGGATGGATATGACAAAAATTCTCAGCCACCACACATAAACTTGGAATTAGACTGATACACATAAGTATACAATATATTGCAGAAATTTATTTGAAATGCAAATAGGTTCTAAAAGAAAATTTGCCAACATGTCATCCCCAAGAGCACAACAATGATCAAAATACTTCCTTGTTTAATTGCCCACATGGATACGGAATTGCAATGACAGTTTAGGAAGATGCTATCTTCTAAATAATTGTGAAATCCATCTATTTCTCCCAGTCACTGTTCCCCAAGTGTTGTTATTCTAAACCAAACTCACTGCCATCAAGTCAATTCTGACTCATAGTGACCCTCACTGGGCTTCTGAGGTGGTAAATCTTTATTAAGTAAATTGGCACATCATCCTTCTGCAGAGTAGCTGGTGGGTTTGAACCGCCAACCTTCTAGTTAGCCGTCATATCTTATCCCTTCTTCAGAGTACCTAAGTAGCTGCCATCAATCAACTGTTGATTCACAGTCAACTGAAACATTGCTTAGTCCTGCATCATCGTTGTGATCAGATGTAAATGGGACCATTTTGATACATAGGGTTTTCATTGGCTGGTTTTCATAAGCTGGTCACCACCCCTTTCTTCCTAGTCCCTTAGTCCACAAGCTCCCTCAAACCTGTTCTATATCACAGCAACCAATACTCTTTACTAACAGGCAGGTGCTGCACATCTCCAAGTATACCAACCAAACTAAACTCACTGCCATTGAGTCAGGTCCAACTCACAGTGACCTCTCCTTGGGTTTCCGAGGCAGTACCACTACAGAAGTAGATTGCCCAACCTTCGTTCCGAGAAGTGGCTGGTGAGTTTGAACCATCAATCTTCTAGTTAGCAGTCAAATGCCTTAGGCACTAGGCCACCAGAGCTCCAAGTATAGGTCACTATTAATTCAGTCAGTTTTTAATAAGTGTCTGAGCTCCAGTTTTATTCTCTCAAATTCATTCTCCATACTACTTAGCCTATCATTC